GGCGCCGAGCCTGCCTGGCTATTTTTGATTGCAGTTGTCATTGTTGTTTAGCAGGCCCAGACTGGGCTAGAAACCGCCAGCCTTGGTGCATGTGGCCGGCGCCGTAACCACTGTGCTGCGGGTGCCAAGCCAAGTGATACCTTTTATAGAACAGAATAGGACAATGCACAGGATGGAAAATATTAAATAAGTCACAGAACGTAGCATTGTTTTTAGAAACTTTTTTCTAGTTGTGTATGCAATGGATTATAAAATAAAGTGGATATCTTACTGTGAGCTATGGTTAAGATTTTTGAAAAATGTTACACCATTCTCTATTTGGATCAAGCAAAGGCCCAACAATACTGAAGATTTCCCAGCAGTAGGGCTATCACATGGCCCACCGTGAGCCTTAGTTTGAGGAACACAAAGGGACCTGTGCTGAAGCAGTTAGTACCACATCCATATGCCAACTCTGTTTTTTATAAAAATAGAAAAATCAGGCCAGGTGCAGTGGCTCACACCTATAATCCTAGCACTCTGGGAGGCTGAGGTGGGTGAATAGCCCTGAGCTCAGAGGTTTGAGACCACCCTGAGCAAGAGCGAGATCCCATCTCTAAAAAAAAATAGTTGGGTATTGTGGTGGGTGCCTATAATCCCAGCTACTTGGGAGGCTGAGGCAAAAGAATTGCTTGAAACCAAGAGTTTGAGGTTGCTGTGAGCTGTGATGCCACAGCACTCTACCGAGGGCAACAAAGCGAGACTCTGTCTCACCAAAAAAAAAAAAAAAAGGAAAATCAATTGTCACCTTAAATTAATATTTTTTATTTGAATTTTATTTGTGTTGTCTGTTTTGTTTTGGTTCTGTAGTTAAATAAGAGCTCTAAGTATACAGATTTTATATCTGATTTTATGCTTATGCATGCTTATAAAAATGATTTAGGTTTACTTAAGGGTCTGAGAGAGTTTTCTTTCCTTCAATGATGCCTATACATCAGTGAAGTTTGAAAAATGCCATTTAAGTCCAGGCACGGTAGCTCACGCCTATAATCCCAGCACTCTGGGAGGCCGAGGCAGGGGGATTGCCTGAGTTCATGGGTTCAAGACCAGCCAGAGCAAGAGCAAGACCCTGTCTCTAAAAATAGCCAGGTGTTGTGGCACCTGCAATCCCAGCTACTTGGGGGTGCTGAGGCAAGAGAATCACTTGAGCCCAAGAGTTAGAAGTTGCTGTAAGATATGACTCCATGGCACTCTACCAAGGGCGACAAAGAAGATTCTATCTCAAAAAAGGAAGGAAGGAAGGAATGAGCGATTTAAGAGATATATTGAGTTTAAAGGTATACCCCAAAATTCATGTCCACTGGAATCTCTCAGGATGTGATCATATTTGGAAAGGGGGGGGGGGTCTTTGCAGGTATAATTAAAGTTAAGATGAGGTCATACTGCATTAGAGTGGTCCCTAAATCCATTGATATCCTTATAAGAAGTCTACATAAGGTTACACAGGGGAGAAACCCAGCCTAAATCCATTGATATCCTTATAAGAAGTCTACATAAGGATACACAGGGGAGAAACCCAGGGAAGAAGGCCATGTGTCAGCAGAGGCGGAGGTTGGAATTATGCTGCCACAAACCAAGCAATGCCAAGGATTGCCATCAACCACCAGAATCTAGCAAGAAACAAGGAAGGATCCTTCCAAGCTTTCAGATGGAGCATGGCCCTGGACACCTTGATTTAAATCTTCCAGCTTCTAGAACTATGAGAGAATTAATTGCGTCGTTGCAAGCCACCAGGTTTGTGACTATTTGCAGCCCTAGGAAACTACCATGGTGTGGCAACCTGCCTTAGAAGAGGGGGTGACTAAGAGGGCCTTTCTATTATAAAAGCCATCCCAGGCTCAGCATCTATGGCTCAAGTGGCTAAGGCGCCAGCCACATACCCCTAAGGTGGCGGGTTCGAATCCAGCCCGGGCCC